TTGCACCCTAAACAACTTGCTTTTAACATGACTTTAATGGGAGTAGGCTGTTTTTTCACTGAAACGCTGAACTATTTCTGAAAGTCAGTTGAATTCTTTTAAAGGGAGCCACCTAGCATCCATAAAATGGTAGCTTTCTCTCCAGTAGCCTTGGTACTTTCAATTACCCTTGAGATTGTCCCTAGTCACTCATCTATCCTTGTATTCACTGCCAAGGTTACAGATGGTAAGAAACAATTCTGGATTGAACACAGGCTTCGGAATCAAACTGAATGACTGAGTTTAGGTTCTGACTTTCTTACTGACAAGTTATGTAATCATAGAAGGGTTATTTCATTTCTCCAAACCTGACCTTATGATCCATGGAAAAACTACTGTACTGTGTTAAATCCACAGTAAACCATGAGTAACTATAGCTATTACTGCTGTCTTAATAATAAACCTTAGACATTATTCTCAAGAAATTCACAGGCTATTAAAAGCTGGTCAGAGGCTTAGAGATAATTTAACATAACACCCTCCCTTAGTAGATCACACGGGTCAGGGGGGTGAAGTCACATAGTAGAGTTAAGACTAGGACACAGAATTCTTTTCCAGTCAGCCATGAAGTTTTCAGATCTCACAGAAGTGGACAAATAATGGATAACAGCCTACTTTGATCAATGATGGGGAGAGAAAGCCAATGACAACTCAGAGAAGATTGGCTCTGTCTGAGCCAAGGCCCTGGGGAGGCCTGTGATGGTTCCCAAAGGAGGTATATTCAGGAGAAAGAGGAAGAACAGGCAGATGCTGCCAGTGGCTGGTGTCACTTGGTCTCATTAGAGAAAGTCACTAAGCAGATCACTGATAGGATTGGATTTCCCAGCATCTCTAGCTTTCCCCACCACCTGTCATGTAAAATTTTTTCATGTGGAAGGAGCAACCCCAGCACGGACTGTGCTGATGTTACCTTGGTTGCAGCTTCAACACGCAACAACAGAGGGGTATAATAAGGATTCTAGAGAACCGAGTTGGCAAACCAAGATCTACAGGCCAAATCCAACCCACCATTGGATTTTTTAAATAAAATTTCATTAAATGAGAGCTACAATCACTCATATATGTAGGGCCTATGCTTACCTTACAGAATAATGGCAGAGCTGAGTAGTTGGAATAGACCCAAAGTTCCCCAAAATCTATTTACTATCTGGTCCTTTACATAAAAAAGGTTTGCCAACCTCTGGGATAGAAATTTATCAGTTGCTTAAGAGATGAAGTTCCTCTCTGAGCTGAGGAAGATTGAACTGATTCCTTCAGTATATTTTTGTGACTTGGCTGAAATCTAATTAATACAATAGGAGAAAGAGATAGGCATTAAATCCCCTAAGGGTGTATGTAGTTCTGGTTTGCCTCACCTTCTGGTACACAGAGGAGATAGAACCACTTGAAGAGAGGGGACATTCCACGCACGCATTACTTAGACATCTAGACGAGTTGCCTCTTAAGAAATGTGTATACTGTGAGACACTTCCCGCATTTTATTTTGTGCACTCATTATAACTCCCTCTTACATAATCTATTGTTCCCATCTTACAGAAAGATAAACTAATGGTAAACTGCAGTCAAAAGTTTCGCAACTATTTGACACCATCTTTTCTAATATACACAGGTACAATAACTCAGCTCTTAAAATGCCTGCTTGTAGAAATTATGGTTGCAAATAGCTTAAGTACAACCAAGTCAAACAAAATAGAGTTATAAGTCATTGCTTCTACAAGTGTTCATTGTATAATTCTACCTGACCTGTAAGATACTCATTGTTTAGAAAATATTGTATACATTGCTACCTTTGTAAAAATTATATGATGCTATTAGCAAGTTATGAGCTGAGAGATATTTTCCCAAACACTTGATCCTGGAAACCTTTAATCTAATTAGCAACATTCCATAAAACTGGTATTTCAAGGAACACATCTTGAAAACTTTTGAACTAGATGATGACAGTGGTGGTTATGATGATGCTAACTAGTGATAACAGCTAGTTATTAAGCAATCACCGTGATCCACATGCTGGCCTAAGCATTTACATGATGAAATTCATTTCACCCTCACAGAAATAAGGGACTGTGAGAAATTCCCTTCTTGACAGGTGAGAAAAGTGAAGCAGGAAGAGAACAAACAACTTTCCAGAAGTCAGATGGTGAATACATTATGGGAACTATGAGCTTCTCAAATACTGGTCTCATGTATCAACTCATTTTTGTGCCCTATATACTTAGGACAGTGCCTGGTATATATTATGCACCCAGAAAATGACAGTTGAACTGAATTAGAGATAAGGTTCTAATAAAATGAAGAGACTAGAGTGTTTTGAACAAAACACTTAAGAACTTGAAATGGTGTTTACACAATTAGGTACTCCCTCATCAATCTGAGTTTTCTATTTGTTCCAGAGAAGGCCATTATCTAGATAATGTTTATCCTTTAAACCACTTTGTATAGTGTAACAGTTTTCATATTTTATCTAATGTGCACTACCTAAAGTTAATGCAAAGATAATAGGAAAATATCCGATAGTGCTGATCCTATTTAACCACAAGAAATAATATTTCATTAGAAGGTACAGTAAATTGGGCTTTTTGTGTGGCATAAAATACAGCAGAAGAGGCAAAACCACATCCATAAGGAACCATTGTATTGCTCTTGTTAGGAGAGTGGATGGATATTTTTACAATGCAGCATAATAACAGCTACTGAGAATAATCAATAACAGCTTTTTAAATATTACAGACATAAAAAGATATCAAGGTCAAAATGAATAAATACAATCCTGGTGAATTTTCAGTATAGATCTGAGTGAGGCTGGCATGCATTAAGGAAAAAATATCAACGTGCTTTTAGTTTTAAAAGGAAGAGAAAAGGCAGGGTTCATGCACACCTCTAAGTCCAGTACTTGGAAGACTGAGGCAGGAGGATCACTGTGAGTTCAAGGCCCACTTGGGCTACAAAGTGAGTTCAAGGCCAGTCTGAACTAAATAGTGAAATCTTATCTCAAAAAGGCAAAAGAAAAGGAAGAGAAGCAAAAGAAGACCATGTTTTTGTATGCTGCAACATGAAAAAGGAAATTTCACACTAGCACTTCAGGAAATTTAAGTACAATGATAAAATGGTAATATTTCTCATAATTCTGGCACAATTCATTCCTGAAGGATCTTAATAACTTTTCGTCCTCATTGAGTGCTTACTATACTGATTTCAGCATCCTATATATGTACTACTATGATCTGCATTTCCTATGTGTGTAAATGGAAACATAGAGAGGGAAAGCAATTTTCCCATGATTCTCACTGACACAAGATGGCAATACGATTCCAGAATCCATACTACTGTTTATTCACTGGGTAAAAGAGAGGATTCAAGGGCTCATAGATATTCACACATCTGGGAGACAACGTAATTTCCACTGTCACTGTCAGGGTATAACAGAGACTCATCAGGTAGGCACCAGAGGACTAACTGTCACAGTGTGGAATGGAATCCTCGTCAAATGCATAGGCCCCTCCTTGGTGGCTTGTTTAGAGAAAGGTTTCCAAAGGTTGTTACGCATCCTGCCACTTAAGAATCCTCATCAATTGAAAGACTTCCATAAGTCTTGAAAAGCAAAGATCTGTTCCCTCCACCTGCCTCCCCTACCTGTGCGTGCTAGGATTTCTAAAATCTGTAATGATGTGTTCACAGTGCAGCCACCTGCACTCTGTCCCTTTTGAAACTTGGTCGGCCATTTGTGACTGTGTTTATGCTGGGATGGAAGGTACATCAGAATTCAAATATTCATGTCTTAAAATATTCTGAAAACATTTAGAAAGAAAACAAATTTCTTTTGGCAAAACACAAATGGGTTCCACGGGCCGGGGAGATGGCTCAGTAGAATAAGCACTTCCCTGGTAAGCGCAAGGGAAGTTCAATCCCTGGTTCTGCAAAAAAAAAAAAAAAGGGCTCCACATTAAAGGAAAGGAATTTTGACAATAAAGCATTGTGCCCAGACTCTCAGGGTGGAAGTCATTTGAGAATCAAATGAAGAGCCCATTAGAAAAAATCTCAAATTAATTATTGAGTAAAAACAAATACTGAAAATTATTTCCATAATCATATTTTTGTTTCAAAATGCCTGCTTCCCTCTCCCCATTTTGTAGGTAACACATAAGTTAATTTAAACAATCAAAGAATGTGTTTGCTTGGATGGCATTAAAAGAATTAATAACATATGGACTTTAGAAGATAAATACTCAAGACCTGAGCAAAACACTTAAATACAAAAGGATATTATTTAAAGAAAGATTTATTTTATTTTATTTACTTTTAGTCCTGGGGATTGACTCCCAGGCCTGACGCATACCAATGTATCACCAGTGATAACACCATTGAGCTACACTCCCAGTCCACAAAGAGGAATCTGAAACAAATGTATCAACATTGCAATCGATTCACAGTTCCATATATCAATTCGGTATAAAAAATGAATATTCTATCTTCTCTTGATGAACATATAAAAACTCATGTATCAAAATTATTACATTTTTAAGTTAACATGTAATAATTACATTTATGATGTATAGTATATGTTAAGAGTATGATATGTTAATACAAGTATACAATATGGACTGACTGAAAGTAATTGGAATTTCTATCATTGCTTTATGTTTGAAGGCTTTGAGCACTTTATTTCTAGGTCTTTATAAAGTACATAATAGGCTATTGTGTACACACTACATTTTTATAGAAGACAATTCTTCATAAAATTCAGAACGTTTACACAAAAATAACTTCTCTTTTCTCCATTGTACCTAACTTGTATTATATCCTTTCTCAACTGTACCTCATAAGTCTTACAAAGAGGAACTTTCTTTTCCTCTTGGCATTAATCATCAGTTGGAGGTAAGCAATCACAATAAGTATGATTTATTAAGCAATCAGGCTACAAGTCACAGAGCTGACACTAAAACACAAATATATTTACTTACCTGGATGGCTCTGACATTGGAAACTGGCTGTTTTGACATAGTCACGCAGTCTTATCCCTAAAAAAACAAGTAAGAAACTATCAGAGGTGGCAGCATTCAGATTCTCAGTCTTGATAAATTAGAATTTAACTCATTATTCAACTGGGCAGTCACCCTTTTCTCTAGCCATATATTCTTTCAGTCTCAGTTTCCAAAGTTACTTAGAGACTCTCCTTCCAAATGCCTTGGGGATAGGGAACACTAGAGCACCCCGATAAATCATTCAGGAGGAGAAATGCTGAGATGCCTCGCCCCTGATGCCAATGATAGGCGATCAGAAACTTGAAAGGCCCTATCATCTCCTTCCCTGCCCTCCTAACCCTTTGCCAAGAGCAGCAAAACAAAGAGGTGGTGGGAATAAAACACCTTTGTTCGGGCCTCAGAGCCTCTCTACTTGCAACTGAACTTTTGATCCGAAATCATGGCTGTCGGGGTAGTTAGTTGGTCCACTGGAAGCGCCTGCTGTTTGTTGAACCCTCAAAAAGAAGCCTGCATTGTGGCCCTGCTGCTGCAGCACTCTCCACTCCAGGTTCTTCTCCCAGCTCTGTGTGGTCAGCCTTTTTCCACAGGGTGCCTCATATGCAGCCCAAGATATAAAACACAGGCAGCAGACCATAGCTTGCCTGTCTTTTTTCTTTCACTAAAACAGTGTCAGCAGCATGTAGGATTTCTGTGAGCATGCAGATCCCAAGATGTAGAGGTGCTCTCTTCTCAAAAGACTCTTGCTTTCTTTCAACAGATGAGACCTGATTAAGATTGTATGACTGAAGACATTTTGGGACATAGACTATGGTTTAATGGAGCTAACAGAATAGTGAATAATATCTCAGCTCTGTCCAAGTTTTACAGCATTGTCTCTTAAACAGGATCAAATGAAAAGTTAAATATTCACTGAATTTTAAAAAACATACTGCATGCTAAACCCAAACTATAAAGTAAGTTGACTGAATTTGCTTTCATGTCCAGTAAGTATATAGGTTAGCACATTAGCAAATGAACACAGGGAGCAGAGTTGGCATTTGTCATAGATCCTATGTAACCTGGGCAATGTTCCTCAACATTTCTAGGCCCAATTTTTCTTCCTTAGATTCTTTCAACCTGTTTCATGGGTTGCAAAAGTATTTAAAATGACAGTGTTGCTGGAGAGGCCTTCTGAACTATAAACCGAGAGGCAGATATCTATTGTTTTATCGCCATTGCCCACACCTAATAACTTCTGAGTTCTGATCTGCAGCTTTAAGTACAGAGAAGAACTGATGTAACACTGCCCCTAAGGCCTGTGGAGACAAAAAAATCTAAGAACTCAATGAAAATTTAGTTTTGTTTTCTTTTTAGATCTTTAAAGTCTTGGGCTCTACTACACGAATTTAAACAATTCATGGTTTTTAAAACCTGCACGACTTGCGATATAGCCCAGTGATAGAGAGCATGCTGAACATGCATGAGATGCTGGGTCAATTCCCAGCACTGAAACAAAACAAAACCAAAAATACCTCTGTATTGAGTGTGTCCAAGTAGAGAGTTTGGGGAGATATATGCAGGAAAACAATGGCTTTTCATTTTTAAAAGTTTCACTTTAATGTTTTGATAATGCAAAGATATAACCTTCACATATAAGGATCCAGGTAGAATTATTTTAATATGGTTAAATATAACATAGCAACAACAAATTGAGCAATCACAGGTACGATTTTACTCTATGAAATGTATTGGACAGACTGCTGTTTCTTTTGCTATGTCAAAGAGAAATGAAGGATTTTTAATTTTTGTATCTAGGGCACACAACCCAATTTCAAAATGAATATCTTAGTGTCATAATTTGTAAGGTTTCCATTCCTCAAAAGCTAATAGAAGTCTTGTAAAGTAAAAATTCTCACAGGACTTTAAATATCTCAGCATAAACTGTTCTCTGTATGGACAACTAAGGTTTAATTAGTTGGAAACTTAAAAAGTTAGCGAACATCAAGTTAAAGCATGGGGATTAGGAAATTTCTTTATGTTCTTACAATAAATGTTCAACCATTTTTTTAAAAAACCATTGGTTTTTAAAAGGAAATAATAAATTCTTGTTATTTATATTGCATTGATTTAAAAAATAAGCTGATTTTGTTTTTACATTGACTGATGAACTAAATTCTGGATTGCCATGGGTTTTTTTCTTTTTTTTGAAACCCTGAACCTAACTGATGGATGGGCTTGTCTCCTATGTACTTTTAGAATATTTTCATTTGTATATGAATCTCTTACCATCCATATCAATCTTTAATAGATACATATATAGAACGTTGGTTAGCTCCCTGCTCTCATTCCTCACAAACAGGCTAGAAAGCATTTGTGTAAATCAGTCCAGCAGCAGTTCCTGCTGTCCCCATTATTTGTGGAGAAATCAGGGCAACGAACACTGATGAATAAAAATAGATAGTGTTCCCTGGTTGTTTCCCTAGCCCTGCATTCACTTCCATCACAGATGTAGGGTGTAGGATGCACCTTCGCTCTTTATCAGCATACTTCTTCTAGAAACCAAAAAAAGAAAGCTATGCCTTAGATACACACTCCCCTCCCAGAAGGGTCATTGTGTTTCATCCAGAGAAGAACTGCTTACAACACTTGATTACTTTGTCTCCTGGCTCTGGCTAACATTTGAAAACATCGAAAGTTTGACAAGTCATATATTAACTTTTATAAAACCCATCGTATAAAGGAAATGCCTGCCAGCTGAGCACAGTTGAATTTTCCTGGCAGTTCTGCTAGTCCATGGGGATTTTTAATGGTCTGTCTGCTGAGTCATTTACAATATACCCCCATTTCGTTTTGATTGGGCAGCATCTAATATCTAACTTCTAAATAAAGCTCTTCGACTTACTAAAACTTTGTCAACATTAATGTCACTAATTTAATAAGAAAGGATTCAGAGGCAAATCAATCAATATTTGGAAATAAGAGCTTTGTTTGTTCTTTTTAAAGGCCAAGTAAATGGGTAAAGCTCCATCTCAAAGGGAATTATCTTTTATCCTGCAGCTAATAATAATTTCTGAGAAGGGTGTAGAAAGATGGTCAGCTGTCTGAACTAACTCCTTATTTACTCTTCCTTAAATATTCTGGGACAGAAGACAGCGTCTTTGTGGTCCCATGCCTCTGAATCTGTTGCCCACATAGACAGGGACAAGTAGTGCTGCCCTCTATCCAGCGGGGGACAGGAAAGCTGTGACTAATGCGAAGTTTTCAAAAAGATGATTCTACTAATGTACAAGGCATTGATAAAACTTCACACTGACCCCAAACCTGGAAATCAGAGAAAGGACAAAAGCATCCTAAGCTTATATTATGTAACAACTCTGGCAATAATTTGCATGTAGGTAAACCAAAGGACTAGCCTTATAGCCTTTCTATGCCTCCAATCTGTTTACTATTGAGCTTAGAGCGCGAATCAGTGTTTAGCTGACAGACGATTATGCTGACCACCACAGCTGCAAGGTCATAGTTATCATTTCTGGACTGTGACCACTTCTTATTAATATCACCATCAAATGAAGCCTACCACTAACTCAGTATTCTTTCAGTAACTCTCTCAAGCACTGAATTTATAAGGCAGAAGTAGCAATATCGCAAGTGGACAAGGAATTGACAAAGAAGCTGCAGCCACTGGTCACAAGCCTACAAAGTTATAAGCAGTCACTTCATGTTAAATATCAAGGAAATTTCCTTTAAAAAGCCCAGTCGCCAGAGCTGGCTCCTTTTGCTTACCTGATTATTGTATTTGTTTACTGCCTAAGGAAAGTCCCAGGCAGCCAGGTGCAAGAATACAAAGCTCCTTGGAGGTTGGAAGGGACGCCGGGTGTCCTCTGAGCTGTGATCTCAATTCCGATGCTTTTCATGTGGCTGAAATAGCTCAAGTGCTCTGTGTCTCTCCCGGTACTGAGAGCTGCTCCTGGCTTGGGGCTGGAGGGAAACTCAGTTTAAGGCTAAGTGTTAAAGAGAATTCCTGTCATAGCTCACAGTTGTTCTTCCTAAATATAGAGTTTGATACAAGCCATATGCCGGCTGCCTCCGAGAGGCTTGACCGTGGGGAAAGCAGGGCTCAAATATCAGCCAGGAGGTGGCTACAGTATCTTACTGTCCTCCTAATCTTCCAGAAGACGCTGGTTGCATTGCCTCACATATTCTGATGGGGTATAGTAAACTTCAGAAAGTAGGAAAAGTCTGTCTTTATCTTCCTTTATCTTTATTACCTGGAGGCCACAAAATGAAAAGTGTTCCGTAAAACCTGGGGTAAGGCAGCAGAAATACTGAAAACAGAGTTTGAATCCTAGTTTGATCACTCCGGAACTGCTAGTGTTCACACTCAGCTTTCAATTAATAGTCACCAAATGAGGGTCATTATACTCTTACATTGAAATATACAGCATTGCCTTTTTTTGTAGATCAAAAATGGTCAAAGATGGACCAGCTGGTGCATGTGCCCATCCATGGGTCCTTGTTCACTCTGCTCTTCTGACTCTACTGGTGGCATTGACTTTGACCCCAGAGAAAAGGACAGGACATGACAAGACAGGACAGAACAGAACAAAAAGAACTATCTACTTTAAATATGACAAAAGCCAAGGACAGATACCAGGCACATTTTTTTTATATAGAACATATGGGGGACCAGGGAGATAGCTCAGTAGAATAAGTGCTTGCCTGGCAAGCACAGGGTCCTGAGTTCAATCCCTGGTTCAAAAAAAAGAACATATGGAATCCTAAGGTGCATACTCACTAATTTTTAACCTTTCAAGTTCTCCCATCTCCCAAATTACCTTTACATAAAGCTTCCATTCAGTAGAAATAGTCAGGAAAGTGGACAGACTTAAAATCCACTCACTGGATGAAAATGAGCCCCATGTCCAAAGCCCTGATATAATAATCCTCGAGCCATCGAACTCTGTCTGACTGGTAGCCATCACCCAGCAGCCTTCTTGCTATATGAAGAAAAGACACTTCTAATTCTGTGAATCTCAAAAGTCAGGTTTGTGTTCCCTACAGCTAAGCGTATTCCAAACAGAAGTAGTTGGCTTGTTTTGAAGCCTGTCAAAATGAAAACAAGTTTTGGAGAGTTTACACCATGTTGTAAGATTATATAGCATTGAAAGTGAAGTATGTATATACTACAGAAGAGAATATCATGAGACTATAGGATATAGAACATTTGGCTACACATACGTGGTCAGACAAAAATGGTAGTACCACTCTGTAAATTAACAGTAATGAGCCATTTTTTACCCTTGGCCCCATAGTCAGGCCACATATTTTGCCATGGTCCTTCTGCTCCAGTGCCCCCCTCAGGAGCCAGTAATGAGGAATATAACAAGGAAAATGCTCTCAGCAGCAATGCCTTGTTCACAGGACAGGCCCAATGTGGGTATGGCTGCCTCTGTGGAAAGAACTGAGGTGAGCTGCACAGCAAGGAAGCTGTGTTCAAAAGTGACAGAAACCAGTCATACACCATGGCGCATACCTGGAATTCCAGCTTGTCTTCTGCCATACCACCCTGAGTGCGCCAGATCTCTTCTGAAATCCCAGCTGTTTGGGAGGCCAAAGCAGCAAGAGGATCACAAGTTGAAGGCTAGTCTGGGCAACTTAGTAAAACTCTGTCTCAAAATTTAAAACCATTTTAAAAGGGCTGGAGATGTAACTCAGTGGTAGAACATTTTATAGCACTGTGAGGGCCTAGGTTCAATTCTCAGTTTTAAAAAGTCAAATAGGGGTCTTGCGGATTAGCTCAGTTGTTTAAGTGCCTGCTTGGGCAAACCCAGTTAGGCTCAGGGGACTGAGGTTTGATCCCCAGCTCCACATGCCTTACCAGACTTGCCCTTAAGGCAGCCTGAGCCAGCCAAAAATTAAATAAATAAAATAAAAAGTCACATAAATACATAAAGACCTAGTTTAAGCAGCCATGGGGGATTTGTTGATGTACTATTTCTGCCTTCCTCAGTATTGCCCCTGCCTCCTGGGTTCTTCTATAGCTGGAGACAGTACCTACAACACTGTCATCATTATACCTCAAAGCCCGCATCATAACCAGGTGTCCTGGTGCATACCTGTGATCTAGCACTCAGGGAGGCCGAGGCAAGATCACAAGTTCAAGCCTAGCCTGCACAACTTAGTGACTTATTAAGACCCTGTCACAAGATCAAATATGAACGCAACAGGCTGGGGATGTAGCTCAGTGTGAAGGCCCAGGGTTCAAACATCAGTCCTCCCCACATCTTCTCCCCCCCCAAAAAAGCCTACAACACATATTTTTTCTCTGCATTAGGGCTGTCTTCATCATAGCAAGCCACAAGCACAACCCACAAAGTGCAAAGGAGCAATACCCACAGGGACAAGCTTCAATCAACAGGGACAGAAGTCAGATATACCTCCACTGCCCAGTCCTCTGGTCAGGTGATTCTGAGTTCTTTTCTTGTTTTTATTTTAGGGAAGGGTCTACAGGGTGTTCAGGGTCTCACAATCAGATAAGACTCATAGTGATCCGCCTGTTTATAGCCTCCCAAGTGCTGGGATTACAGGTAAGCACCACCATGGCCAGTCTCAATTGCCATCTCAGTGTACCCCAGGTGCAGAGCTGGCAAGGCAAGCCCGGGGATCGAAACCCGGCCCGTGCTCCTGCTTGCAGGTGCTTTAAAGTGCTGAGCTATTTGGCAAGCCCGATTCTGAGTTCTGATCTATGATTTCCCAGAGGTCTCCAGTAGAATTGAGCCTCAGTCACCCACAGTGGGGATCTGCTTATTAATATACCCTTATTGGCTTTCTGCTATCACTCCCGCACTCCCTAGCTTGTGTTCTCTGGATTATTTCCCATCCCAAGTAAACTACCACAACTAATACCCTGTCTCAGCATACAGAGTTGAGGCAACTCCAAGACAAAAGGGAAGGTTTCGTATTGTGACAGGAAGTGCAGGAGTACACTTAAGGAGGCAGGTGGACCTCAGAAACAACCAGAGTCAAGAACTTGGATCTCACTAGTGTTGAATCTTCTTCTGCAACTCCAGTTTTAAAAGTTTCAGGGTTCCGGTTGGCCCATCCTGAGTCAGCCACCTGATCCTTGCCAGGATCAAGGCCACACAGCACAGAGGAGGCCTGGGAGTACACCAGGTGGTTTAGGATCTTTTCAGAGAGGGAAATAATCAAGGTCTCTATGAAGCATCAAGAACCCAAGTGCTTTCCTTGATCACTTGTTATATCCCCCAAAAAACTGTTACTACCACTGTTAGTTAAGACTTTCATGAAAACAGACACACGCTCTGTGGGGAGAGTAACAAATGAAGTCCCTAATACACAGAAATACATACCAGGTTGGTGAATGATTATTAACTAGGCCTAAGGAAATAGGGTTCGACATGAGTCCATTCATTGGAATAGTAAAGATGCATTAAGAAATTGGAAAAGTTGGGCCGGCAAAGTAGCTCAGGGGCTTAAAGTGCCTGCTTAGGCAAGTTTAGGAAAGAGCACAGGGACCAGGGTTCAATCCCCCACACCACATGCCGCACCAGCCTAGCCCCAGGGTAGGCTGAGCCAGCCACAAAAAAATAGGAAAAAATTGGAAAAGTATGGAAAGGGGATGCAGAGGGTGCTGCACATTGAGGAAAAAGCTTGTGATGTTTGTGTATATTTCACATAAGGGCAGAGTATAGGATTGTAGGCAAGCACAAAATTGAACAAGTCAAACTCGAGGCTTTTATAGATAAATGGATGCAACCAGAGACCATATTCATAAGTGAAATAAATCAGACCTTCATGTGTAAACACTGTATTGTCTTGCTAGTGTAAGAACCTGAAAGAGTAAATAAAATCCAAAAAGGGAAATAGATACTGTGACAGGGAAAGAAACTGCTGAAAGGGAAGGAACAACTGGAATAAGGGAAAGGAGAAAAGAAAAACAGAAAGAAGGGAAAATGCATATGTATATACACAGGATAGCTGGGACAACTGTATTGCTGATTTCTACTGGTCTACTGAAAGGAAGAGTTAATGCTTAAATTTTTTTGTGTTCTTTTTAATTTTTTGACCAATTTTGCATGCTTATAACTGGTAATCTGAACAACTACTTAGAAGACAATATGCAATGTAACCTCCTTTGTTGAATTTTTATCATCTTGTTTAGTGTATTTTTTCTAATTTTTTATTATTTTCTATTCTCTTTAAAAAATAAAAATATTTAACAAAGTCTTTCCCACCTACATGTCTCCATCACCCTTCCACTAGAGTCCAAGAATGTTAGAATATTTAATAACCCATTACATCTACATAGTCTTTGTTCAGTTACAAAATACTTTTATTTGTATCATTTATTTAGTCCTCACAATATCTCCATAAGTTAAATGATATTATTCACAATTTATAGATAAGTCAAGGCTCAGACTATTAAGAATACCAGACCAGCAGTAGCTCCAACAATAGTCATCATAGCTCATCATAAATCTAGGCATGTAAGAGGAGGTAGTTCTGGGTTGATTCAGAAATTACATGAAGTTTAAGACTCAGACTCTCTGTAGTTCTGTGTGTGTGTGTGTGTGTGTGTGTGTGTGTGTGTGTGTGTGTGTATTTTAGGGAAGGGCCTACAGGGTGTTCAGGGTCTCACTACTAGATCAGACTCATAGGACCCACCTCCTAAGAGCTGGGATTACAGGTGCACACCACCACGTCCAGGCAGGGCCAGCATGGCAGGCCCAGGGATTGAACCCCTGGCCCCTGTGCCTGCTTGCAGGTGCTTTAATCCACTGAGCTATTTGGCTTTGGTATTCTCAACAAATCAACTTTTCATCTTCCTGTTTTTCTTTCTGTATTCCCAAGATGACAGCCACAGCTCCAGAAATCAGGATCTTTCATGCACATTCAAATAAGAAATAGCAGTGTAGGTGGGAAGGGGGACTTTTCTGCTCACGGAGGGAACTCTTTCCCAGAAACCTCTAGCCAAATTCCTG